GTATGTCTTCCTTAGAGAGATTTTTGTTCAGCTCATTTTCCCATCTTTTAATTGGGTTAATCATTTTTTTTTTCACATAAAGCACTTAAGTTCCCAGTATATTCTGGTTATCAGTCTCTTGTCTGAGGCATAGTTAACAAAAATATTTTCCCATCCTGAGAGTTGTCGATTCACACTTGTTACTGTGTCCTTTGCTGTGCAGAAAAGTCTTAGTCTGATATAGTCCCACTTGTCTATTTTAGGGATTATTGCCTGTGTTTTGGGAGTCTTATTTAAGAAGTCTTTGCCTACTCCAATGTCTCCCAGAGTTTCCCCAGCATTTTCCACCAGTAGTTTTATTGTTTGAGGTCTTAGGTTCAGATCTTTGATCCATTTTGAGTTGATTTTTGTTAATGGTGAAAGATGGGGGGTTTAGTTTCACCTTTCTGCAGTTGACTACCCAGTTCATATTAGTAAATATTAGTTTCTTAAACTGATTATAATACTCATGGGGCCAGACAATAGTGCAGTGGTACAGTGGTAGCACAGCTGCACCCCCATGGGAGAGAACTGGGTATGAAAACCTTGTAAGGGGTGTTTCTCTCCCCTTCTCTCCCTCTATCCCTGTCTCCTTATCTCCCTCTCCCTGCTTTCTTTCTCTCCCTCCCCTCTCTCATAGAAGAAATAAATAAATATATTTATCATTTGATCCTCTATGTTAGTCAGGCATGAATCAAATGAAAAACAGAGGTCTTGTCCTGTGTCTTGAAGGTACTTAGGAAAAACATGGAAAAAAGTATTTGCCACAGCAGAGCTTGAAGGATCAATACTCACTTATCAACACATAGGTTATAACTTTCTATTAGTACTCTATCCCTGTAGCAGCTGGAGACTTTCAGTAATAATAAGAATGAATATATGTTAGTATTGTATGTGACCCCACAACATTTGTTAATCCGATCATTTTAAATGCTACCTGAAATGTAGGATTCTCTGCTTTTAGATACTGAATTCATAAACTCTGTTACCAGAAATAAAAATAATTCTTCAATTTAAGATTTCTTCACTATGCCTGTCAGTGCTATTCTTGGCATGTCTTTGTTAAGAGTGGAAAACTAGAAAGGATTTCATAATTTAGGTTGAGGTAGAGATCAGCTTGTAGTGGGTAATGATAAGTAAGGCTTTGCATGTATAAATGGGTCTACCCTCATAGCTATTTAATAGGTTAAAAAACATAGAGACAAGTTTGATCCCTCTAAATTAATCTCTCTCTATTACCCATAAAGAAAAAAAAAATACCCCACATCAGCATCTTAGAATAAAGAAGTGAGTTCTGAAAATACAACTTTTTGGTCAAACTACTGTTAGCAGTTAAAAACTGAAAAGAAAACTTCAAAGCCAGCTCTGTGGCACAGTTATAATGTCAATGCTCAAGAGAGGCAGGATCCCACATGGTGACTGAGATTCAAATCTCCAGCCAGGGCCACCTGACACATGCCAGCCCCTCACACAAGTGCCCAAGATTAGGTGGGCTGGAGGACTAGAGGGAAGGGATCCAGGCATGACCAGACCCTGTTGAGAGAGTTTTTTTAATTCCCTCTCTCTGTCTCTGTCTCTCTCTCTCTCTTATTCTCTCTCTCACTTTCAGCCATGCACACCTGTATTGTGAATAAATAAAAAAAAAAATTCAAGAAAAAACTGTATTTTACTCTCACCAAACCATATCTCCATCTTCTAGCAGGACCTTATATGCTTAGGCATATTCAATGAACAGTTATTAAACAGCTGCTATGGGCCAAGCACTGTGCTTGATGCTGGGGATAATGAGATGGATAAGGCTGAAGAAACTGAGTCTAGTCAGGGAGTCTAGTAAACTGCCATCTGGTGGTGGGGGGGGTTGCAGCAGTGCAAACTTGGCGCAATACATAAAGCTAAGAATCAGTCATTCTTATACCTTTGTGTCAGACAAGATACATCAAATTTTCCTTATTTCATTTTATGTAATCTTACTTAATTCCCATAATTACCCCCAAGGTGTTGTCTTTCCCAATTCATATAGATAAAGTAATGAAGGCACAGTTACTTGACATAGTTACTTAAAGTTAAGTAACTGGCCCAAGATACATTAAGAGTTCTACCAAGATTAAAACTTAGATCTGTCATAGTTCATTCAATTTACCATTACTACTTATAAATGTCTATATTCTCATTTTAATTAATTAAATTTAGTGATCAGGTATACTGCACTCACTACCTTATTTTTCATAGTGAATTAAAAGTCTAGAAAGCAAATTAATTAGGGA